GCTAGATTTTAGCACCGATACCTGAGTACGACAAACACCCTGGCGCTAGCTCAAACCAGCCTGGGCCAGAAGATCCCGTTCGCAATGGCCATCTGACTAACCCTCCTGACACTAGGGTCAAGTCGTCCGACAACGTTGAAGAGTATAGCTTTTGTACAGCTGTCGGTTCCAATGACAACGGAATCTGGAATACCGAACATGTAAGAGGCCCTCCCCGGATTCCCCCCCCCCCCCCCCCCCCCCCCCCGGTCCAAGGCTCCCTCACTACCTCCGATTACGATGGGCGAGCAGCCATGCCTTCCGTTCTCGGAGTACTCGGAAGGCGATGCTCTTCCGGAAGAGGAGGGATATCAGGGAAGTGAGAAAGCAAAGGGCAACACAGCACAATATACTCGAACCAAGAATCTGGTTTGAACAAGCGGCCGTGCTCAGAGACCAAATCCGCAACGTGCATGAGAAAGTTTCTATGGGGCACGCTCTACAAAGTTTAACTGGATTTCCGGAGAAAGATGCATGACCGAGCAAGGCAGGGTACAGCGATCTAGCCAAAGTACTCCATACATGACCGGGCATTGCTTCTGCATGGCGCCAGGTTGGGGTGCTGCCACGTTGGCTGACCAAGACCAAACCACGCGATCGGGGCAGTACATAAAACGGTGTGACGCTGACGGGTTTGACGAGGTGTGCGACAGGTACCCAGTACCGAGTACTTCACTGATGGATCCTCGACTGTCAGCCCTACCGAGATCTACCGCTGCGAGAGACTAGGACAATACGAGGCGATCTTGAATGGAGCACCCCCAGTATGGAGACCACGCGCTCTGCTTATTATTTCTGCAGGATCATGTGAAGCTGCCGGACGTCTTCCGGTAAATTCGTTGGGATCCTGGAGACTTGTGCTTGGCCTAAATATCACGCTTTGAATCATCGGTCTCGATTGATGTCTCTGACTGATGTTGACCCTCATGTCTCTGGTAATGTACAGGGTACCTATGAAACGAGATATTACAGCCGTGTGACGGGACTCCACCAACATCGGCGCGATTCGTCGTCATGGGACGTATTGTATGGTTATCGGGTAAGTTTCCCAAACTCAAAATTTAGAACCCAGAGACGAAAAAAGTCCGCGATTTGATGCGCAGTCTTCATCAGTGGTCGTACGGAATACAGCATTCTCTTTTTCCCTCTCTTCTACTCGTACTCTCCTCCACCGCCTTCTTTGACCATTTCCTCTGATGTTTACCTGCGATGCCTGTCTACGTCGGGCTTTTTTCTCTCTTGGAAGCGGCGCCGGTCCATCACACTTCTCGTCTCCATTGCCTGGACATTCCTTCGAGCACGCGATCAATTCGACGATCGCCTTCTCTCGCAACCATGCCACACTTGAGTCCCTCAGAAAGGGCCATCACCGCAACGGGCTTTTCAAAGCCTTGAAAGAGGGCCGCCCAATTCCGCCGGTCAGAGCCAAGCCGTCGAACGCTCGGGCAAAACTCATGGTTAAAGATGCTAAAGCAAGAGAACGTAACTGGTTACAGCGTCTCGAACCCCCTGATCGGGAGGTATATTTGAAGAAAGCTATGGAAAAGGAGGCCAAATACTTGGTGGATCCTCTCAAACTGGCTCAGGGCATCGTCGAAAAGCTCCGGGACCACAATCTGCAGGCTGCCTTAGAATTGGTCCGCGCCAGCGACAGGGCTCATAATGGCAAGCGAGTAGACAATGTCGTCAGTTGGAACCATATCATAGATTGGCTGATGGGTCAAGAGTCTCCTGGTGAGGCATGGAAGGTCTACAACGAGGTATATTTCGACCACTCATCAAGATCCCGTTTTCCTGACTGACCCGATTTTTGTCCACAGATGAAAAAGCGAGGCCATAAACCCGACTCCCACACTTACACCATCATGCTGAGAGGTTATCGCGAGAACGTCAGAAAACCAAACGCCGTTCAGCAGGCATTGAGCGTTTACGACTCCATCTCGGCCGCAAACTCGGCTGTCACTCTGACCACCATCCACACGAATGCTATCATCAGTGTCTGCGCCCGCGCGTACGACATTGATGCGATATGGAGAATTGCTGGGAGGCTCCCTGAACGCGGGCCTGGTGCCCCGGACCATGTAACGTTCACGACGATACTGCAGGCCCTGAACAGCGAGGCCCAAAAAAGAGCGATAGATCGAGGAAGCAGAGAGGGGCCGGGCTTCGACCCTCAACCAATCTTCGACCAGGTTATTGATGACGCGCGGAAGTTATGGCTCGACATCACCGGACGATGGAGAAGAGGAGACCTTCACCTGGACGAGGCCCTGGTTTGTGCCATGGGAAGACTGTTGATGCTTTCAAACGACGGGAGAACTCATCTTGATGTTCTCAACCTGGTCCGACAGACCATGAACATAAGCAGAATCCCCGATGAATCAGCTATGGACCCGACGAACGAGACAGAGGCGCCGGACGAATCGGAAACCACAGCCGAGGACGATTCTCCATCCTCCCTCGACGCTCCAGCCATGAGAGCAATCCGCTCGATTTTGACCTCAAAACCAATCGGCACGGTGAACTCTTCTGTGTATGCCAGCCCTGGCAACAATACTCTTTCCATGCTCACGGAGACCACTACCGCCCTCCGAAAGCTAAAACTGGGCAAATACTATTGGGAATTGCTCACATCCCCCGATGGGCCTTATAAGATTGTCCCAGACCATCAGAATATTATGGCTTTCCTTCGCCTTCTTCGAGTTTCCCGCGCCAGTAGAGCGGCCTTGGACCTTCTTCGAGCTCCGAGACCTGACGATGTACGCGACAAACTTATGGTGCGTGGAACATTCGTCATAGCTATGAGCACCTGTCTCCGAGACAAGAAGAATCCGAATGTGTTCGAAACAGCCAGCCGGATCATGGACTTGATGCAAGAGAGCACACGAGATTTGAGAGATGACTTGAATGGGACTGAAATGGAGCCCCAGGGTCAGAAGCTCAGGTTCTCTCCCAAAGTTCTCCGGATGTATTTGGAAGTTGCTATGGCCACCACGAAAGGAATTGGCGCGGGTCCACTCGAGAAAACACAGAGCGGTGACTTGGATTTCGAGCGAGATCCGAGCAAAAACAATACAATAAGAGCGTTGAGAAGGCTTGGCCCAGATGCGGTCAATGTCAGGCAACTGATCAAATCCCACTTGATTGAGCTCGAACAACAGGCTGCTATGAGGGGACGTACGATCAGAGTCAAGAAACTGCTTGAGAAGCGCCAGATCACGCCTTACAGCGTTACTGAGAACATTGAAGAACTGGTCGAGCTATTGCGGACCATGATCAGTGCAGTTGACAAAATCATTCTGGTTAATGAACGGTTGGAGGACGACGGAATGGGACCTTTAGATAAAAGCATCTTGAATGAGTGTTGGTTGCAGAAACGTAAGTTGTCAGCCTTTGTTACGAGAGTGGCCAACGCGGTCGCCGAGCCCAAAGGACCTGGAGAGCTGAGGACGCGGCGTGTTGACGAAAGGGGTCGCCCGCTCGTGAGCAAAGTTGGAGAGAAGCAGGAGGAAGATGCAGATGCCGGGGCTGAAGACATTCAGACAGCAGCGGACGAGATGACAGACGAGGAATTCGAAGCCGGCATGGATCCCGCCAGTCCGCGCGCAAAACTCATGAACGATATCAAGGCAGCCCAGGCCAAGCAGGCCAAATCAAAGGAAGAAAGAGGCCTTTCACGACGACAGAAATTGGAATTGATTAAAGAAGAGCAAATCCGCGCACAGTTCCCCACCAGCGTGTTGAGAGAGCGGCAGAGCGAGCGGATGCGAAAGAAGGAGACTGCGGGGGCGGGATTGACGCCGAGAAGGGGGACGAGGGCGGTGGTGACTCCTCCAAAGGCGCCCGTGTGGAAGACGAGGCAATTGGAGATCAAGGAGATGAGAAGACAGAAAAGAGAGGCTAAAGAAAAAGAGAAGAACGCGAGAAGGGAGAAGAGAGAGGCAGAGGAAAAGGAGAGGCAGACGAGGAGGACGGAGAGGGAGACATATCGAGGGTGGGGAGGTGGGTTTGAAGAGATGTTGAAACAAGAGGGCAAGGCTGGCCGGGCCGGGATTGTGGAGTTGGGACCTTGACGTGTGTTGTTTTACTGTAGGTGCCAAGGCATATCCATATGTACGATAGATACAAGCTCGAGCCGCAAGCTCGAGCCGGGGAGATCGTGGGCCATGGCGACACAGCAAGGCGTCAGAAAACCTTGGGAAGAGGGCGGAGATGATCGGGATCGGTATGGAAACCCACCCTCCCTCCCCATTTATCAAGAGAAGATGTTCTTGTACTTGTACTCATAGTTACTACTAGAATGAAGGGAATGGAATCTCTAAAGGGCACAAGGACGTTGAATAACCCAACTTGACGACAAGTACCTCGTCCCCATCTCCCTCTCCTCCCAATTTGGACGACGCGTTCCGTGCTATTAAATGTACCGAGGAATGTACAAGGAACAGGACACATGACCATCCCATCTCCCAGTCGATGCCAGCACGTATCTCTCTATCTCTCTACCTGTCTCTCGATCTATCAGTGGCATAAATGTAAGGCGCAACACGACACTACACAGCACAATACAACACAGTTCACCCCACGGAGTCCGTGTTCTCGTACAATATACGTGGTACCTTTCCTCATAATCCCTCCCGCCCTCCCTTACTCTTCTCCCCTTTGGAAGCTATTCATTTCACTAGGTGGCGTAATAGGTGGTGCAGGTAGGGTAACTAGGGAGTCTGACCGTCGACCCCTGCCTGCTTCTATGCATGGGGCACCAGGTATAGGAGACCAGGGATATATACGCCGACCCCCTTGCCTGTTTTTATCTGCATATTAGTATGCGGGAGGTGGCATGTACGTAGTCGGGGCGCCAGGTATATCAGATGAGGCGGTTGGCAGAGGGGGAGGGAAAGGTTGCACATGTAGCTTCGGGAGAGAGGCACCAGGTTCAAGGAGTGTCTTCGGCCGTCGTCTGTCTATGTTGTTGAGCTTGACATGTCCGAGAGCCATCGGTCCTCCACCTCTCCCGCCCAGATGTCGAGCTTCGCATTGTTGACAAAGGCGAGGTCGCTGGGGTTGGCGACCCCGGTGGTCAGCCACGACGACATGGCTCTCAGCACATCCATCCTGGACCTGTGGCTTGCCATCATCGTCATCTCGACGAACTCGAAGACCTGTTCGACGTGGAAGACGGTGTCAGCGGATTCGCTCCGCCCTTCGACGTCGACGGCATTGTGAGCGATCATCAGGATCAATAGCAGGGAAGGTAGCTTGGCGCCCCCTGCTCTCAGAGCAAGATTCGAAGGGGCACTCATCTCCACGGCAGTGGTCAGACCCTTCAGGTAAGTGTTGGTGGTTCGACCGCTGTCTCGGAATGCCCAGAGCGCATTGTTGATTGCGAATAGAGTACCCAGGTAGAACCTGGATTGCGCATCGTCCAAATCTCCCGCAGGCAGATCGACATAGTCGCACAGGGCAGTCTTTGGGGCGAAGGCGCGAGCACGCCTACTCAGGTAGCCGGCGGTTGAAGTGTCCAGTGCCACTCCAGAATCAGAGTCGGATTCGAGGTAGTCACGGTGGCCTTGACGCAAAGCTTTGGACGCGTCGGATCTGAGGTTGTAGTTCCAAATCTGGACATCCCGTAACCATTGCCAGATCCCTGCCATCCTCTTTTCGAGATCCGAGTGTGTTTTCCATAAACCGTCAACACCGTTCTCCACAAAGACGTTGGCAACCATCAATCCCAGCGGGTACGTGATGGTTCGCACCGACTGTATTCCGCCTCTGAGATCCAGCAGCTTTCTGGCAGCCCGGACGTGATATTGGGCGCTTTTGGTATTGCCCATTCGATGCTCGCAGCCTCCTGCTATGGCAACTGCCAGGACATAGTCGTCCATCAGCGAGCTCTCCTGTTCGGCAAGCCTAGCATTCATCAACCTGTAGACCAAGGATCTCCGCGCTAGAATCGACAGTTGTCTGTCTTTCTTTGTGGGTTGAAAGCTCACGATCTGTGACTCGATGACGAGCAGTAGCCACATGACCACTATTTCGTTCGTGGCCACAACTCCGACGGTGCTATGCCTGGCAATGCTCGACACAACGCCGGTGGTCGACCCGTATATCTGGTCTGGAACCGTCGTCAAGTCTGCGTCTGGATTAGTCAAGACCCAGATTGAAATTGGTTCCAAGACGGGCAAAAATAAAAGTTCACCACATACACAGATGCAGCAAATGCTGATCTGGGACAGAGAGCTCTAGAGCTGAGCGTGCAAAGGGATCTAGAGAGCTTTTGCCGATGTCCTTGGGCAGTTTGACGGGGACAGAAGCCGCTCTAGTCCTCCTCTTGGCGTCCTCAATGTCCCCTTCTTCCCCATTCTCAGTGGTCTGAAGTGATAAAGGGTGCTGGTGCCGGTTTGCGCTGGACCTGACCTTCAGCCGGAACTTTAGAAAGGGCAATGCCGAGGTGGAGGCGAGTCGGTCGGTGTTTTCGAGCTCGATCTCGATTCTCCCCGATGATGACTCCTCCCCCCCCTCCTCCTCCTCCTCCTCAGGACTGGATTCAGCGCCTTGAGCATCGGAATTTGGTGAAGATGTGGTGGTAGCGAGGCCGCCGGCTGCATAGGTACCTCTCCATGACTTTGGAATGCGAGTCCGGCGGGCCGGGGGTTTGGAATCTTTAGACGAGTGGGAGACACGAGCGGCATGGGATCGAGCCTCGGATTTTGCAGCTTCCAGCGCTCTCCGATTCGCTGAGGCATCGCCAGCCAGCGCCGAGATGGTGGCGTTGGGGGAGAGGAAGTGAATTTGATATCGATGGCCACTCATGTCATCTTCGTCTCAGGCAATCGGCTTAAGCGCTGTGAGGCTTGTGATATAATATATTGATATTCGCCAGGCGACCGAGGACGGCAAAGGGATCCTTCGATTACCGAGAATATTTCGGTTCCTGCTCCAAGATATCTCCAGTGATACCATTGACGCCTCCCAGTCCAAGGTGCCCAAGTGTTAGCCGGCCTTCGCCCTCCACAGCGTGCCGGATCATCAATCAGCCCTAAGCCACAAGCAAGGATCAAGGAGTTGCATGATACGTGCAGTTGCGGCCGAGTCATCAGGTGACGGATCAGACGTCCAAGTACTTGTTTCTTGTTGTGCAGCCCGGCCCGCGCACATGGCTGATGGTCAGTGGGCGAAGGGCGACGAGTGGGCAGGAGGATGCCAAGAGTTGCCTGACTAAGATTAGCGAGAGATCTCGTTCTCAGCATCTTTCACCCACCACCAAAACAATGAGCCCACACTTGGCCGCACCCGACACCGCATTCCTCAGCATTTACTCGGTTCGACATCTCTATCCGAGCCTCTCTGAACGCTCGCCATGCGACATGGAGGCTCTCGCCAACTCCGATTCGACTGGTTGAGCACTCGAGCTTCGTGCCTGAGTCGTCTCCGCCAATGCTCTTCTAGCCTGCGTCCCCAATGCCCATCTCTCGGCAACACCTCTTCTACAGCTGCTTGGGCGACGCGATCCTGCAGCCATGCTTCGACAAAGCCTGACCAGAGCTCGCCCTCGGTGCCGGCCCGGAAGTGGTCGACTCCCTTGGCCAAGACCATCGCGCAGGCCATTGAGGTAAGGCTTCCCGCTGCGTCCGATATCAGGAATTGATTGCCTTGGCTAACTCACTGTGAACGGACAAGGTGACAGGACCCATTTCGATCGCCTCTTATATGCGCCAATGTCTGACAAATCCTGACGGAGGATACTACACCTCAAGTCGTCCATCGGCCGAAGATGCAGACCAATTCGGCGCCGCGGGTGACTTCATCACCTCCCCCGAGATATCGCAAGTCTTTGGTGAGCTCGTCGGAATATGGTTCATGACAGAATGGATGGCACAAGGGCGCCCGACAGAAGGTGTTCAGTTTATTGAGATGGGCCCTGGTCGAGGAACCCTTATGAGCGACATTCTTCGAACTATCGGGCAGTTCAAGACATTCGCAAGCGCCATATCGGCAGTATGGCTGGTCGAAGCAGGAGAGGGACTACGAGCCAAACAAAAAGACCTGCTCTGCGGGCAACATGCGCTCATGAAGGAGGTCGCCGATGAAACGGGGAAGAACGTCTGGTGGGAGGCTACAAGCCCTCAGGGAATCCCCGTCAGATGGGTCGAGGACATCGCCCTGCTGCCCGCTCAGAACCATGGTGGAGGTGAGGGGATGCCCTTCATCATCGCGCACGAGTTCTTCGATGCTCTCCCCATCCATGCGTTCGAGTCCGTCGCTCCCAAACCCGAAGATGCACAACAGGAAGATGTCAAGCCCCAACTTCTCACTGAAGCGGGCCAGCCGATCGCAAAGCCCACCATGGCAACCAAACTCCCTCAATGGCGAGAACTCCTCGTCGCGCCTACGACGCCGAAACTTGCGACGCTCCTCGCCTCCGAGACCGAGAAATCATTGAGTCCCAAAGAGCCAGAGCCGGACTTTCAACTCACGCTCGCAAAGGCGAGCACTCCTTCCTCGCTCGTCATCCCCGAGCGACCTCGCTATCGACCCCTCAAAGCACGAGTGTCCTCGCGCGTCGAGATATCACCAGAGAGTGCTCGATATATCCAGGACTTCGCTCGCCGCATCGGCGGCAGCGCGGCCCCTTCCGCAGTTTCGAAGGGCAAGCCTAAGCACGCCCGTAGCGAGGTTTCGCTACGAAAACCTGCCGGGGCAGCATTAGTGATTGACTACGGGCCCCTGGACACAGTTCCTGTCAACTCTCTCCGCGCAATCCGCAAACACAAGATCATTTCCCCTTTCGTCTACGCCGGCGATGCGGACATCAGCGCGGACGTGGACTTCGGAGCCCTAGCAGATGCCGCTTTGGAAGCCAGCCCGGGCGTAGAAGTCCATGGGCCCGTCGAGCAGGGGGCGTGGCTGATGCAGCTGGGGATCAAGGAGAGGGCAGGACGGCTTTTGAGGGAGTTGGACGAGAAAATGAAAGGCGGTGCAGGTGAGGAAGTCGACGAAGTGGAGAAGAGAAGGAGAGAAGCGGAATTGGGTTGGAGGAGGCTGGTCGAAGGCGGGCCAAAGGGCATGGGCAAGGCGTATAAAGTCATGACAATCGTGCCAGAGAATGGCGGAAGACGAAGGCCCGTCGGCTTCGGAGGGGGGGTTGTTGGGTGATGTGAATTGTGACAGCCCGCTCCCTCCCCTGCAACACTCCGTCTTGTGCCAAAAAGAAAAAGAGGGAACTTTGTACTCTATGTAAAATTGTAACATCAAATGTGCCACTACCATCACCAGCAGCGCAATAACCCCAAAGCATCAACTATTTGTATTGCGTTATGGTATATAATGTTGTTACTCACTCACTCACTCGCTCATTCACCGTCTCCTTCCTCGTCGGGATGTGCGTCGAAATCCCAAAACCGAACCTCCATCTCGGTCGCACGGACGAAGATGGCGATGAGCTCCTCGATGCGCGCGGGCGATTGCTTGACGATGTTCGCTTCAATAAGGTCTGGGCGCCGATCAATCAATCGCAACGGGTCAGCCCGTACCAGGTCAGGGCAGGCCAAATGGGGTTGCGCGAGGGTCGAGCGACTTGGAGGGGAGGAAGGGAAACGGGATAGAGGTTTGGGAAAGGGCTGCTTGGGCAGAAGGGAGGGAAGACAAGGCAAAGCCAGGCTAAGCAAGGCAAGAAAGAAAGGAAAAGGGGCAAGATCATGATGATGATGACAATGACGATGAGGATAATAACGAATAAGTAAATAAAAATCGAAAGTGAAGACTCACCTCTCCCCACCCGTACAGCCTCCTGATAATCGTCCGCGACATAATTCTCGACCCACCTCCAGTACCGATTTCCCTTGTCGCCCGTGACACTCTCGCGCTCCCTGTACAGGCGGGCCGCGGTGACGCCGTAGCCGATCAGACAGGGGGCCAGGGACATCTGTAGGGCCAACCAGTCCTGGCTGGCGCCGACGTCGAGGCAGTAGCGGCTGTAGGCGACGCAGGCAGGCGACTCCTTTGGTCTCCGCTTGGGGTCTTCGAGGCGGGCGCGCGAGATGCCGAACTCGGCGCAGTACGACAGGTGCAGCTCCATCTCGCGCTGGATGTGCAGGATGATGCCCGCGCTCGCCGCGATGGCCGTCATGGTCTGCGACTTGTACGCCGCCAGCGCGTGCGTGCGCGCAAAGTGCGTCAGGTACAGGTAGTCCTGCACCAGATAGTTCTTGAACAGCTTCTCGGGCAGCGTGCCGCGCGCCATGGCCGTCGCGAACGGGTGGTGCGTGAATGCCTCCCAGCTGCGCGCCACGAGCGGGTGCGTGAGCAGGTAGGTGTCGATGAAGTGGCCCCGGGAGAAAGGGAGGATTTGAAGGTTGTGGAAGTGGTTTATCGGGCCCGAGCCTTTGCCGACCGAGGCATCCGCGGTTTTGATACCCGTAGAGACGTAGTGCACCGCGAGGCGAGTCGCCGTGGCGAGAGACGGGGTCTGTGATTGGGATTTCTGGAGGGCCATGTTTGAGGCGATGGCGCTGGCGAGCGAGCAGCCTGTCCCGTGGGTGTTTTTAGAGGCCAAGTACTGCGATTCGATGATTGTGTAGTCGTGGCCGTCGTAAAGAACATCCACTGTCAAGGTTTTGTCTTCGTCGCGAGTGGCCTTGACGTAGTTCTTCGTCAGGGGCATGTGGCCTCCCTTGACCAGCACAGCCTGTGGACCAAGTTGATGGACCATCTTGGCCAGGGCCTTCAGGTCATCAAGCCCCGAGGGAGACTTGTACTGCACGTCTGCGTCGCGCAAGAGGAGCGTGGCTTCGGGAATGTTGGGTGTGAGGAGCGTCGAAATGGGCAAGAGTTTTTCGCGCAGGACCTTCACAGCATCGCCGGGAAGCAGCTGTGCGCCGCTGGTAGCGACCATAACCTGTGCGAATCATGAGTCCCAGAAACCTTGGTGATGGGCAGAGCGGTCATACAGGGTCGACAATGATTGTAGAGACCTTGTAGCGTTGAAGCGCTTCCGCAACCACTTTGACCGTTCCCGCCGAGGCGAGCATCCCTTTTCCCACATGTCTCAGCGACTCATTTGCACGGCTTGTTGAGCAGTGGCATGGCCTTACCAATCTTGACGGCATCACATCCAATATCCGTCAAACAAGCATCGATCTGCTTCCCCACAAAGGCCGGCGGCGTGATGTGGATGTCCTCAACACCCAGAGTGTTTTGAGCCGTCAAGGCTGTTGTAGCTGTCATCCCGTAGCAGCCATGGGCTGCAAGGACCTTCTGGTCTGCCTCGAGCCCGCTAGGACGGAGTCTTGTCAGAGCCGAGCCCAAAGATGGGATGTGAAAAACTCACGCTCCGCCAGAGCTGTCAGAGCCCGCGATGACCAGAACTCGGGGAGTGGTCATCTTGGATAAGAGCCTTCTCTCATCGGGCAAGCATTACAATAAAGCACAAGAACCTACAGGAATGAAAATGGTCGGGAAGACGAAGGTAGCCTGGTGGACAAGAAGAAGTGGAGGGGTTTGACACTGAGTGGCATTGAGATTGTCGTTGTCAAGGAGCCAATGAAGAATTGGGCCGCATCTCCACCATGGCTGAGGTCATTGTCCCGTTACGATAGTGATGCTGATGGCTGGGCACAGTGTATTCCAAGTCAGCAACTAACACTGGATTGACCGTCTCATCTATTCAACGAGCGAAACTCCTCGATCCCATATCCCAATATCACCTCATAATGGCAAAGCTAAACAGCGAGTCCATCTCTACCCACTGTCGCCCACATTTCTTCAGATATCCATCCACCACAGCTTTGATCCCCTCAAATGCTTCCTTGTTC